TCTGATTTCTATACCCTATCTTAGAATAACCTGCCTGAAAACCATACCCTTCAAAGCGGTAGTACCTTCATGTAAGCTTTCCATTGTTACTATACTTGCAAAATGGACAATGCATGCATACATGTACATGGAAGATAATTATAAACACAAACCTTCAGATCTGGCTCATTTTCATCAAGCAAAGCCAGCAGACCAGCTATTCAAGAAATAAAGATATAAAATAATTATTAAGACAACAATACACAAGAGACTCGCATGTTTTTAGAGTCGGATGCACACACAGCATAGCGTTTTAATTTATGAGAGTTTGAAAGTTCATGCAATCAGTATCACAGATATTTTGATTTGATCTGTTTCGGCAATTTCAGCAAGGTTGTCAATACATATGGGCAAAGTTGGTCATCACCTGGAATATGATTTCTTGAGGATGGCATCTGCACTCTTCTTTTACAGAAAGCTCAGTTAATTACATTGTAAAGTAAGTCTTAAAATAGTACAAAATATGTCACGTCTGGCTAAGTAGTCTTATGACTTAAGTTATCATCATTTTAAGTAAGGAAAAGCCCTATTCTACTGTATATATTTTCATTTGTATAGTTACCCAGTTTTCCCAACTAGAGATCAAAGTATTAAACTTTAACTCCAGCGTATTAACTGAGTTAAGTTTCGTGTAGAAGCAAACTTGGTTACAATGGCTGACAACTGATATAGTCAATTAAAGTCCCCTTCTAATCAACATTTAATCGTCGATTACAGCAGAAAAGCATCGATAAGGGAATTCGAGCAAGAAGAACTACTGAGCCCTGGTTAAAACGATTTTATTGGGAAATGTTCCCTATTTTTGCTTAGTCATAAACTGACACATGAGCGCGTGAGAACAGTAAAGGTTTAGGGAATTACTAGAGGCATTCATTGAAAAAATGTCATCAAATTAAATACATAGCACAAACCTGCTGAGGTTAGACTCATAATAATTGGTTATAGTGCCCCAGTTTCTTCAGAGAAAACTCTAAAATGTACCACTTTCCTTTCACATGGAAAACAAATTTCTCTCTCCCTTTCTTACGGCTCGCTAGGTAACCACGCTCGCGTTAGCAGCCTGGCCTTCACTACCCGGAATGCTTTGCAGAGGCGCTGTAAATAAACATGGCGGCTGATAGCAGCTGATACCAAGGATGTTTTGAATATTCTGAAGTGGTGTTAAAATTTTTCTCAGACATCTGTTCCTGAAACATCCTCAGGGATGGCATTTAATGGAAATGCTCTTCGTTCGGATGGTGTAAGTGGCTCGAAGCGCTAAGCCTGGACCTTTTCAACCATGGCAGCTGACAAAGTGTTCACTACGCGAAATTTTGAGGGCGAAAGACGGGCGATACCTTTACCTATTCAGACATACTTTTGGCGGCAAACAAGGTAAATTAATGTGTTGTCTTTGAAGAAAGCATCCGCTGCGCCTTTAACAAGATGGTCTATTCGTAAGAACTCGTCAGGAAGGCCTATTTTCCCCTTGTTGATAAACAGATTTGATCGATCGATCGACTTGTCGCGCGTTGCGGCAATTAGTCAAAGCTGCATGTTCTGTAGCGATAGCTGCTTGTTCTTTTGGTTATAAGACATCCTAACTTAGTTGTTATTTGAACGTTTTCTCGAGTGGTCTGACTGTTGACTGACTATCCGAGAAACGTCATTGTTAATCCTATTTAAAGGGAGTTCTTAATCCCTGAGTCTTCTGTTGTTATCTTTGCATTGAAAAATCCAACACACCGGGTTTACCATCATCTTAATTGAGCTTAATTAACAGATGTAGGTGTAGAATTCGACGACTGTTCTGTGGATTCACGTTATACGTGAAGTTTATGTTAAAAAGCGAGGCATTTTGTATTACATTGTATCTGATGGATATAACTTGATCTTAAAAATAATCGTACAAACAACGAGTAAAAATATATAGAGGATATTACACGGTGGCAAGAAGAAATGAATTTTATGTTCGAGTGGCAAGAACTATATCTCATGAGAGTGCAGTGAACGAGTTAGATATTGTTCTTGCCATGAGAACATAAAATTCATATCTTCAAGTTAACATGTAACATTCTTTTTATTATATATAGACATACTGATGACAGTGTTTTTGATGATTTTCCGAAGATTTGCGATCACTTTCCGAAGATTTCTGAAAATTTTCCAAAATTGTTCTGAAGGCAGACAAATGTTTCTGAACATTTTCCGAACATTTCCGAACATTTTCCAAAGATTACCGAAGATTGCTGAAGATTGCCGATGATGACCGAAGAAGAATCATCCGAAGATGTTTCGATCATACACAAACAAATTTAAGTGTAGTTAAAGGGACAAGAGAAATATGTTATCAAAAATGATATCTTCACATGTGAGGATATCATATCATTTTTATCAATTTGTTACCACTCGGTATACCACTGATTTTTATATAATAAAAAGCGATACTACCCACCAAAACATCTAATAAGAGACTTATTATCCAACTGCTGTAGTTCATAAATTTATCAATGGAAGAGGGAGAGTGTGACAGTTTTGCTTGCACACGCTGACCTGTACAACAGGTTTTCTAATGTACAAATAACTGTACAGTATCGCTGTATATTTGTACTGTTATTTGGACGGTATTCCCTGCAGTTGGATAATAAATACTGCATATTTACCATATCCTCACTAGTGAGGGTGTTGATGACGTCATTTCTCACTTTTTCATGGTTGTATGCGCAAACAGTCAGTTTGTCTATTATAATAAAAAGAAAATTACATGGTAGCTTGGAAATACATGTATGAATTATATTTTCCCATGTTAAAAACTGTGTGGCTTTACCATTTGAAAACAATATTCATATCTTTGCTCCACCATGTACATGTTTCTTTATGTATGTTTCTGGTATCTAAACTCTATTGCACACATTCTTAGATGTATTAAGATTTGATTTGGGAACTTAAAACATCAAACCTGGTACATGTACATGTACATGTATGTATGGTAAAAGAGATTTACAATATAGATACAGTGATGTATCTAAAATTGAAGTGCAAATGTTTGGCTATAAATGTAAGATGTTTTTACTCAATTTTGTCTATA